ATAGGAAAAAATAAGTCTTGGTGGGCAGGGGGCGGTGCTTTAGCTCACTGGGAAGTCAGAGGAAAGGGGGCCTTGTACACAAATACATTAAGTTAGGCTAAAATGAGCTGCAGCTGCCCATTGCTCCTCTGGTTACAAGCCTCCTGGGGTCCTTAGAGTTTAGAAGATGCATTCCTGTGGAAGAGGAAGAAGGGAAAGATTCAGTTGCGCCCTCCAGAGGGAGCGTGCATGCTGGGACCTTCATTTGGAAGGTCTTTTAGAGGCCGGAAGTTTATGGGCGATCTTAGGGGAGGAAACAATAGAATATTCATGAGCTTTATGCTGATATACCAAAATGAGCTTCATTTTTTTAACTTCATCTGTCCTTGGATGTGGTTGGTAAATGGCACTAACTGGATTTCTGCTATCTATCTTCCTCCATGGGTGATTTAAGCTATTTACACTCTGTTTGGGGTGAAGTGTAAACCATTCATTCTTAAATGTCTTTGTTTACAAAAGATAAAAAGTTTAAATTTACTAGAGAGCTGTAAAGTGCTTGGCTGTTTAACTATCTGTCTCAGTTTCCCTGTTCTGCTTGTCCTTGCTTTCTAGGCTGTCTTAGTTCTAAGAACTCTGGATGTTCTCAACTCTGATTTCCCAAAGGCTCCTTCTTGAAAATTTTGAAAATGAAGGCCAGATGAGACTTTCTCAACCTATCAATGTGGTTCTAATAAGATGTTACTCAACAGCAAAGCAACAAACACTGAACTTGGGAGAAGCGGCGTCACATTATAATAACTTAAAGAACAGTGTAGGAGAAAAGGTGCCCGCATTAGCCTGACAAGCTCAGGGGAGGCTTGTGGAACAGCCTTAGAAACTCTGAGACCTAAAGTAACTGCAAAGGATGGTGTGAAGTTAAAACTGAATAAGTAAAAGCAGTTCATGGCAGGCAGTCACGTCCTAGGACAGTCATTTTTCCTAACAAAGGTCGATCTTTTTCTCTTTTTTATTCTCTTTTTGCATTTATGATAACATACCTTTGGAGTGTCAAGGTAACTTCCCTTTTTCCCAAACTTCTTGGGGACAAGCAGAGACCATGAATCTCCTCACTGTTATTGTTATCGTGTTAATTGTTGACTGTTAACTATCCCCTACCCACCTATGGAAAAGAAGCATGTTTCTATCATTTTACCTTTTATCCAATCCTAGAAGTTTCCCTACTATAAGAGGCTGAATACTTTTCTCAGACATTTCTGAAGGTTTAGAATGATTAAAAAGATGAATTAACTTTAAGGAAAGGGGGGAAAGATTGTATGCTTTATATGTCCTTCCCACAGTCAAAGGAAAAGCATGCTAAAACGTAAAGAGTAAACTTTATTCACACCCTTCCCTTGTGAGCTCAGGCTGCCATAACATAAAACCATAAACGGGGTGTCTCAGAGAACAGAAATTTATTTCTCGTGATTGTGGAGCATCTAGGATCAATATTCTGGTTTATTCCATTCCCGGTGAGGGCTGTCTATCTGGCCTGCGCTTGCGGCTTGCCGCCCTCCTTCCCTGCCTTCACTCGGGAGAGAGATCTCTGATGCCTCTTCCTGTAAGGACACTGACCCCCACCATGAGGGTCCCGTCCTCGTGAACGCATCTCACCCTGATTATCTTTCAAGTCCCCCCTCTCTACATCACAGTGAGGGCTTCAGCACAGGCCTTTCAGGACCATGAACATTTAGTCCGTAACACACCCCTGTTACCTAGACTTTCTCATATTTATATCTTTTTCCTCTGAGAGAGACCTACTTCAAAATTCCTCAGTGTAAATTTTCATTTTAATTTATGAAACTTACATTTTATTAATGTTGCCTGATGTGGTATTAGAATCTATACCCTCCAAACCAATTTCTAAAGGCCTTGTGGTCCCTTCTTTCCTACTGTACTTGGGATCTCTCGCTCAGCTTGCTCTGGAAATCCCCTTAATCTAATAATGTAGCGAGGCCCAATTTCTGTGTTTCTATGCGCCTTTCTTTCTTTTGTTAAAATTCAACTTGTTTTTCATTGTTGGATATTTAGATTTTTCTATATGTTATTTTAAACATCACAATACATCTTATATTTAAAAAAAAAGAAATGGTTTGTGAAGCAATGCAGTAAAGGGACCCCCGTGGTGTGGGGTGGGAGGGGAGCAGAGGGGAGGGGATTAAGCTGGTCGCCTGGCGTCGTATGGATTTAATCACTTGCTGATGGATACACTTTATAAAATTAATCTCTGGCATTAGTTCTTACTGAATAAACTCAGGCTATCTAACTACCTCCCACATGGTTTCTACCTAGTTTTTCAACCTGCTTCATTATGAACTCTAACAACAGCGCTGTGTATTTCCTACTTGCTACTGTAACCACAGCCCTTAACACATGCTCACGCGTAGAAGGTGCAGATCACATATTAAATCTACCTATTCACTTGTAAAATAGTTGACCAATTTTGCTACTAAATGTGTACATTCCTAAAGAGCATCAACTATGGATTGTGTCTGCATTGTGTTATGTCAACATTTTTTTGCTGTTAATTAATTAACTCATGGCACATTTTTTAAGTGCCAGCTGGAATTCCAGATGCCTATTAGTTTACACTTGAGACCTATATAATTTTATTAACCAATATTGCTGTAATAATTTTTCCTTAATTTTTAATTCAGTTTTTTAATTGTTATTAAATTACCGTTGCCCCAATTTCTCCTCATTCTCTCCCCAGCCATGCTCACTCTCTGCTCCTCCACAGCGTGTCTTTTACTTCCAATAACCCTTAATAAAGACCCATTTCACCGACCACGTCAGCCTTACCTGCACTAACCTTTCAACCGTGGTACCTCTACTCCTGTGAACTATTCCTGAGCCCAGTGTCTTCTAGTTTTGATAATCATGTCACTCTCCTCCTGACTGACTCCCTGTCCTCCTACTTCACTGGTCCTCAGGGCTCCTTCCTCAGTGACTCCAATCCAGTGACACTGTAATCCCCATGCCCTGATCCCACCTGGTGGCGTCTCCATTCTCTGCACTACTATTGCCCCAAACCCCGTTTCCACATAGTCCTCTTCCCTCTAGCCCAGGTGACTTTGTGCCAGTTTTTTATCCCTTGAGCACAGCCCCTGAACCTCATTCAATAATCACAATGCTTGAATGACTGAAGAATTTATCAAGAGTCTTTTTTATTTGTACACAAAACGTTCTGGTTGAACAATCAAAGTTAACATATGATATATGATACTCCTTAGTTGAAAGCCTTTAAGGATGCATTACACAAAACCAAAAAGCACTCAGGAAATGGTAACAGAACGTTGCCATTTTCAAGGATGCAGTAATGCAAAAGGCACCAGGCTGGCAGGGGCTTTGCTTCTGTCACAATTTGCACATCATCAGCTTGAAAGGGAATTCCAGTGCTTACTGAGACTATATTCCAGAGACCAAAGGGGAAACCGTACCGTTCAAGAATACCTATTACCTTTATACATTTTCTATTACAAGAGTGTTTTCTGGAGACATGGGGCATTCGACCTCAAACTCAACGTATGCTTGAAGTTCTTGGGGTACAAAGATACCAGACCAGCACGATCGTGCGGCTTTGAAGGTCCAAGCGTTAGACTGCTAATCTCCGGATTATCTGTTTTCTCTGGATGTTGAGGGTTAGAGGGCGTTCCTGCAGATGGAAGCCAACGGTTGCTCTTATGTCCAACATGAAGAAATTCCTTTCTTTGTCTCAGGGCTCCTTGAACTCATCAGTTTTGAGAATCTAGCATAAGTCATTGTTTGGGACATGGAGATTTGCAGAAGGAGGATTTTTTTTTTCCTCTCAGGTTCTTGGTTGGCTTTGGAGGGGGTTTCATTTTTATTCTAGTCATGACCCTATTGCTTAACGAGTATGAAAAGTCTCAAGGGAACCTAGTTTGGAGACAAACATTTCCTGGCAGTTAAATAGAGAAAAGGAAAGTTTAATTGACCTACTAGACCTAAAATTACATATTTTTCATATTTCTTTATTGAACTGATACTTTTAAAACTCATTAATGGTGTAATCAAATCTGACCTTGTTCCCAACCTCGATTAAAATGGCCCTTTTCACCTGCTCATAAATCTTGTTCCAACAGCCGGTCCTTCTTAGGCCTCTATGGACACCAGGTTTTGAAACCTAAAATTTTATGAACCATTTTTTTTTAAAGTACACAGAGGAAACTGTGGAAATGACAGGGAAGAACAGGGTGATGGTTCAAAGAGAAAAAGTTATTTTATTTCTATTTTCTAGATTTTCTTGCTATTGTTTCCTGAATTGATGCAGGCTTTAATTTGTTCAAGTCTGTGTTATGCTTTCCCAGAACAAAATATGTCTAAATTTTCACTATGCTTGGGAATCATCGTTCCAGGAACATTTTTCCATTCAAGGGTTAGCAACATTTCGTCACTATTGCAGAGGTGAGAAAATTACCCTTGAAAAATAAAGGCAATTTGTAGTTTCCAACCAAGAACTGTATATTGGTTTCAGATATCCATACAGCTAAACTATAAAAACTTGTAGCCCTCTGTATTGATTTTTACCTCCCTCAATGAAAATGAATTTCTTATGAGAGAGTGTTTAGGGGCGATAAATGATAATGGAAAACTACAATCAAACAATAGCATGCACACACACACACAGAAATTTCTCTGAGATTTTACATAGCATTATATATCTTAAAGTAAAAGGCTTTAACAACAATAGTTTAAAATATGAAGTAGTTATTTTAAATGAGTAATATTCGATTTTTATAATAATGTTCATGTATTTCAGTCATTTGTTTTTTTCAACCAGAAAAAATCAACAAAGCCCTTTCACAGAAATCTTGAATTCTTGAAATGTTGATTGATTTATTTTTAAGTGTTTTATTTCTAAATGTCAATCATAAAGGTTCTCATGTGAGGAGGAGGTGTTTTAGGATTGTTCAGATTTGGTGATTCTTGTTTAGATTCCGGTACATTTTTGTGGCCATTGAGAATTATTGCTTTTTCAAATCATCCAGCACATCCTGCTTTGTGATTTTGGTCCAGGCCTCAGGGATTTCGCCCCTACCTCTAAATGTTTTCTCATATTTTTCTTCTAGGTTTGAACGGAAGTGACAGACAAACCATTTCCAGTATGGCTGGGTGGATGTGTCTGGGGTGATGCTCCACGTGGCATATTCCCCTCCTGCCTTTCGATAGTTCTTGTATGGGAATTCGCGACCGTCACTCAAAATAAAGGAACAATCACTTGCTACTGAACTAGTACAGTAATCAATGGAAAAATGGTCTGTATTAACCCATTGGCATCCATTGACAGCCTCAGGACGATGGAAAGGAACACTGTGGTCTCCATCATGTGAAGGGATTGTGTTTGTACAAATGGCTTTACAGAAGGGACACTGTTTCCAGCACCCACAGAGGTGTTCAGAGAGCATTTTCTGGATTTCAGGAACCATTTCTTCTATGGGCAGAGTCCAATACTCCTCTTCTACAGTGCTCATTGCAGGATCCAAAGCGTCACTCATGGCTTCTTTGAGAAACTCAGTATCTTTTATCTCCTGATGTTCAATGCTTATCAAGTCTTTTCGTGGAAAGATCAAGTTACTCCCCACGTGATCACAGAAGGAATCCAACCACCCAGATGCGGTGCTGCTCTTACCTTTAACTCTTGCTGTGGACTCATGAATAGCAAAGAGGATGGTGTTCTTGATGTCCTGTATACTCATGTTTAAAAAAGTCTTTATTTTCTCCTTTCTTTGGTCTGAACAATACCTTTTAATATGATTTTGAATGAAATTCCTAAAAAATGCTTCTGGATCATGAATGTACTCCCAGTAATCCTCAAAACTTTCTTTTTCTGCCAGAGAGATAAGAACGTGTTTCTCCAGGTTAGCCCTGTTTCCGCTGAATGCTGGGCAGGAAGCTCGCATGTCCCCAGCAATTTTAAGGACCATTCCTCCCCTAGTGGCGGTGGAGACGGCAGGAGTGAGTTTGTGCCACAGGAAGTTAACAAATGTTGTGATAGAGGTTGCTCCTTGACAAGAGATCTTAAAACTCATGAAGAAATCATCTTTCTTGCTTTGCAGATAGTGTACAGGATCATTTGCTCTTTTGAATGCCTTGTGCATTTGTTCAAACTTTTTTGATGCTCTTTGGAATAAACACAAAGATAAGTCAATTTTATATTTATTTGTAAATGTGTATCTTTCCTCAGTGGGTGCAGATTTCACCCCCTCTTCTATTATTCTCAGGATTTCATGGAAATAAGTTGGATTGTAGTCTTCCCTTTGAATGTTCTTAATAGTTTCATTAAATCTTGAAACAATGTGGTCAGTGGTCCTATTTATGGACTCTTTATCAGAGACTCCTAAGTTCATTGGGAAAATGCCCCATTTTTTGTTCAATTTGACATGTTCATCATAATTGATTTGAAATACTTTTCCATAATTTTTCTTCAGTGTGTTCCCAATGTTTTTCTCCTTTTTAAAATGTTCCAAAAGGATGTTTTCAGAATCCACATGAATATTAGGCTCTTTGACTGAAGGGACTGTTGATGACACATCGTAGACCCATTTTTGCCAAACTTGATTGAATTTCTCATACAGCGCTTCCTCACTCAGTTCTTTGCCCTTTACAGTTAAAGCCAGTTCTCGGCTTCTTTCCAGTAATTCCTCTTCATAACCTGATTTTTTATTATCCAGCTTTTCTTGATTCTTTTTGTAACTAATATGTCCCTCAGCTTTATTTTTGCTCTCTAAAATAAGTGTCTCTTTAAGGTTTATTAGCTTATTTTCAAAATTTGCTTTCCACTGAATCAGGATTTCACTCTCTGGGTCTTCATTAAAATATTTTTCAAGCTCTTCCTTGATGGCTTCATATTTTTCTGAAACTTCAGCCTCAAGTGTGCTTGTTGTGACTGTCTGGATTTTTCCATTCTTAATCTGGTTGATCAGCTGGTTCTGCAAGCCTAGCACATGACTCCTGAGATGCCAGGTCCAGGAGTTATACATGGTCTCTAATTTGCTCATGGCCATGACCTCTCGGGTGTTCCTGAAACTAAAAATAAAATTTTCACTCACCAGGGCTTTCCACAAATCTTGAACTCGGACTTTTACATCTGATATCTTCATGATGCTTCCCCTAGAGTCCTCCTTGGCAGTCTTAAGAATTCTCCTTTTCAGTTCCTGGATGTTGTGGCTGTAGCGAGGATTGGGAGGAGCCATTGGGGGGTTGCCATCCCAGAGGTGAGCAAAGTAGTCGACGTGAGTATTGATATCAAATTTAATGACGTCGCTGAAGCGAGTTACACCTGAGCACTGCTCTTGCTCTGCCGCCGTTGCTGCCATCTCATCCAGTCTCTGCTCTAAGCGCCTGCGTCCTTCCATAGTTTGGTCTTTAGCTGTGACTTCCCCCACGTTCTGATGGACAAAGAAGCAGCTCGGTGAGATTTTCACTTGTTTCATCCTCATAAAAGCTTGCACAACTATTTGTAGAATATCTTGCATTTCTGATGGGTTTTCCCCAAAAATGTTGATCAGAGTCAAATTTCCAAGTCCAATGACAAAGGTTGCCATCTCATTGTCACGATTCTTGGATTTGTTGCTGAGTTCTGGGGCCCGGAGTCCTTCGGTGTCCACAACAAGCACAAAGTCAAAGCCCAGTTCCTCTACGAAAGTCTCTTCTACTTTCAGGAGCTGCATGTAGGCGCCCCGGGTGCACCTGCCAGCACTGACAGTGAACTGCAGCCCAAAAAGTGCGTTCAGCAGGGTGGACTTCCCCGAGCTCTGGAGGCCAAGGATGGAGAGAACGAAGATCTTTTTGTTCCCAAGTTTCTCAGAGACCTTGTCAAAAAGAGCTGCCACCCACTTGAGAGGCACATAGGAAGCGTCCCCATCCATCAGCTCAATGGGGACACCAGATATCAGCAGATCTGCAGCAATCTGGGGAAGAGAGAGAAAAAGTTCATTTTTGGTGGCAGAAGCTTCTTCTAGAGCTTCATAAATTTGGCCAGCTTCTCTGAGAAGTTGCTCAACCCCCAGGGTACAGTCACTAATCTCCTCGGAGATAACTTCTATCTCTCCTTGCCAGCGTAGTAGGTTGCTGCTCTTTGGTGCCTTTTGCTTTTCTGTTTGTATCTGTGACCACAGAGCATTTTTCTTTTCATTCAGTTTTTCCAAGTGTCCTGCGGTCAGGTTGTCCATAAACACACTGAGCCACTGCAAAAAGTAGAGTACGGTTTGAGTTTCTGAATGATTTTGGAGAATTTGAAGGACAGCTTGCATTAAGTCATTGAGAGGAAAGGCTCTGGTGAACTGTTCTTGCCGTATTCTTTGTTTTTCTTTCTCAACCTCACTCTTGTGCTGTTCAATGCTCCGATTCCCCTTTTCTGTCAGGTGATAGAGTTCTTTGTCCTTTTTACACCAAAGATGCCACAATTGTCCTTGAAGGGGTAGAAAGTTTTCCTTCACCTGAGATATCTTCATTTCTTTCAGTAGAACCATTAGCCACTGTGCCTTTTCTTTGGCTTCCTTGCATTCTCTCTGGTCTTCATCAATCAGGAATCCTTGCTTGCGAGCATATGCGGCACAGTCGTCTAAGCTGAGAGCAGTGTCTGAGAGCGCTACCAAACGTCTGATTGTAGTAATGAGCTCCTCTGTTAATTCTGCCTCATTTCGGTTCCTGATCCCAATTCGCACTTTTTGGTTAGAATTATTGACCACGGCTTTTTCTTTGTTGTCAAGTAAATAAATCAAAGGTCTTGGTGACTGACTCAGGTCACGCACAATTTTTCGGTTTTCTTTATTGTCATCAGAAGTTGACATGAGGACCACAATGAGAGAAGAGACCTCCTGCAGGAAGGCGAGTTGCTTCTCGTGTTCCTTTGCATCTCCATGAAGATTGGCAAAGGTCAAGCAGTTTCCAAATCTGTCCTCATCATCCCCTCCAGGACAGAACCAGCAGACTTCCACCACGCCCTTCATCAGGAGACAGTCTTTGGTGCTCCCTCTGCAATGCCGGTGAAAAAAGACATCATGCCTACGTTTGCTGAGAAGACAGTTCATGATCTGAGATTTGGAAGAAGAGAAGTTATTTCCGACTCTAATGAAAGACACAATGGGGGTAGGGACAGAACACATCTGCTTATTCTTATAATTGATCTTCTCCCCTTTTGGTGATGTCCTTGCTTCCTGCCAGCTTTTTCTAATCTGACTGAGAGACCAGAGAGAGAATTCAATTTGAGAATTGCAGGGATTAGGTATGAGAAGGGGGAGGGCAAACTGGCAGATGGAAAGTTTGGACAAAATATATTGTCTGGCAAAATCGTCTGCACAGTGAAGAACTGCCATCTGAATATCCATGGGGTGAATATGGGGTCGAGGATTAGTGGCCACAGGATTAGTGGGAGTATCACCGTCTTCAAACAAGTCTTCATACGGATCAAGGGCCTCATTTTCTTGATTCGATGCACTTGGAGAAACTTGATTTTGTGTGTTTCCATCCTCCCTGAAGACTATGTATCTCAGCTCATAATCCAGCACCAGTAACTTCTGCAGGAAATAGAAGGGAAGCTCCCTTTCAGAGCTGGGTTTGGTGTTGTACACAGAAGTCTTGTGGATCAAATGGAAGTTATCTCTGCTCAACCTTTTTCGATAGTATTGTTCTAGGCCTAGACGCTGGAGTAATTCCAGGAAAGCCCTGTCTTCGATGACTTCTCGTCGGCTATTTTCTCTATCATGTGGTTCATGGGATCGTTTCTTTCCATGGAAAACATTCTCCAAGTTCTCTCTTACCTCATCCATTCGCAACAAAGAAGTGGTGGCGTCATAAGTGCCATCAGTGAGCGATCTCAAGTCTTTCTCTAGGTTTTCCCAATCATGACTGGCTCCCCGTTTGGAGAGGACATGCGCAACTTCTTCGGACAAAGGTTGGCCCATGTGTTTTTCTAGTAATGCAAATCGTTCTGCTTTCTCCTCTGGCGAAAGAGCTGTCACTCCAGCAGTAGCTGTGAGACCTGTGAGCACCAGGAATGCCTGAGCCCGGTAGGTGCAAATAGTTTTGAGCTCCTCGTATTTCTCTTGGGCAGTTTGCATTTCATTCAGTAGGAAGTCTAATGCATCACACCCCAGGAGACAGTGAAAAGTGTTGTTTACCACATGGTATCCCGCACCAGCTGCAATAAAACGTAGCAAGAGCTGTGTGTCTGTCTGCCCTGTTTCTTGGAGGTGATTCAGGAAAGAGCCAAGAGACAAGCTGACCTCACAAGTGGCCTTCCTTTGCGCTCCCTCCAGAATTTCTGCAGGCTCAGATTTAGCATTCGCTTCCATGAGGTCATTCTTGGCTTCTTGCAAGATTTTGATGAATTCAGAAAATTGGGAGATGTTGATGTGCTCTTGCTCTGACCCTGACTGGAAGACCCACTGCATGATGGAATGAGCCTGAGGAAAGTTATCCGCTCTGTAGATGTGAGGATCCAAAAGGCTGCGCAACTGAGATTTAACCAATTTACTTTTATAAATGGAAGACATTCTGCAATAGTCAACAGTGTTTACCAGAAAATTCTGCAGACCATGATCTGTGAGGCATATGTTAACCCAAGTGTCATAACTTTTTGTTTTCTGGCTCAACATTTGCATGAAATCTATCAGTTTATGAAGCTGCCCTTCAGGATCTGATACCTGCCAGGACTTCACTTCCTCTAGGAAAACCGTAGCTTCCTTCCTAACACTCAGTAATTCTTCCCCACCCTGGATCTGGGCAGGGAGGCCAGTCAGAGCAGCGTAGCTGTCTTTCAGAAGGTTAGCTACCCGAAGAGGATCCTTAATATCACCCCTGTGGCTGGAGAGGATGATGTCCCAAATGGGCACCAGCTGAAGTCCCCGGTCGATGACGCACCAGGTTTGATTACTGGCAACGAGGCCAGCTTTCCACTGGAAAAAGCCATTTGCTTCAGGTGGGCCACCTGTCTGGTCGACAGATAATTGGACTTCGGTGTGAAGATTTTGGGAGGTTGTGCTCTGAGTGGAGCTTTTTGCATGAGAGGTTGACGCCTCCACACCTCCAGCAACTTTCACCCCAAAGCCACTGTAGCTGCCCCTTATGTAACCATTCAGGGCCTCTGCCGACTGCTGCTTTACTTCTGCCAGCTGCTCACTTTGGAAACCCTGTGAGACGGCTTTCCACCAGTAGATTCCCCCCAGGTGCAGAGGGCCCTGGTTAGCATGGGAGCCAAACCTGTGGAGGAAAGCTTCAGCCCTGCGTCTCAGCATGGGGAGCCGGTCTGGTCCTTCAGGCTGGCTGAGAAGGTCTTCAATCCATTTCAGTTCCTGCAGGGCAGCGTTGGAGAAGTGGAGCTGATCAACGGGAAAGCGGCAGGAGGCGAGTGGCACATAGCTGAACTTGGTAGAGCAGAAATAAGAATGCTCAGAACGTGACTGCTCCATGTCTTTGGATTCTGAATGTTTGCTCTGGTCCATACCAGCTTCCAAGCTAAACCCCCATCCTCCGCCCTTGGCCGAGGCAATAACACTAAAGCCCAGTTTCTCTACTGTCTGGGTGAACATGGATTCTGCCCGAGAAGACGTAAATTCCCTTGTTTCCATCCGTGTGCCCTGCTCAGGGCCATGGAGTGAGAACTCCTTTGGGACACTGAGTAGTTCCTCTCTCTTCTCTACGAGCCCCCTTTGGTGGCTGGTCTTGAAAATTCCCTGCAGAGCCAGCCCTCCCGATGCCCATCTCACCAGATCTCTGTCTGGGAGGTTTTGCCTGGTAGACAGTGTCCCCTCCGTGTGGGTGATGTGCGCCTGGATGTTTTCCATGACTTCTCTTAGGGGTTTCTCAGGGTGTGGCCAATACTCTGTGGGGATCTCCATTGCCTGCCTCAGCTCTGCCTCTTTTGTCTTCACGGCCTCCTCCTGTCGTTGCCTCCCCTCTGACAGCAAGTCTCTCAGCTCCTGCAGTGCCTGTTCTGCCTTCTTCAGGTTCTTCTTGGTCATTGCCACCTGGGCCTCCTGTAACTCTGAAAGGCTACTTGCGTGCGACAGCTTCAACAGCTTCTCCAGGGCCCTTTTCTCCCAGGGATGTTGCGCCTGGGCTTTCAGCTTCTGGAGGTCTTTTTCTTCTAGGTGTTGTAAGGCCTGAGCACAGGTCACTCCCAGGTGTTCCTGCATCTTGGGCAGCCAATACTCAGCTGACAGTCCCGCTTCCTCCAGCATCGCTTGGAGATCTTGCATCCTTTTACCTCTGAGAGGCGGCTCATCAAGGGCAGGCATTGCACTGTCCATTTCTGTGGAAAGAAGAGGCACTCAGTTATCCTGTGTCATGAACTTAGGAAGTGTCAGCCACATGGCAAAAATGATAAGAGTACTGGAGGTATAAAAGCCTTTAAGGCTTTGTCATATTTTCACTTCATTTCTCCAACAGATATATTAATGTTTAAAGTTTTTGACATACGTGTGTTTGCACACAAATCATCTTTGTGGGTACTCTCCCCAAGGATTGCTTATTTAGTTGCCTGAGTGAGTTGCAACTTAATAGCCTGATTGTAGGCACTTCCAACTTTACAAAATCAGTTTCATGGGGCTTATCAAGCAGATGGTTGCAGTGAGAAAACAGGCAAGTTCTTGAGAGCTTGATATTTCCTTTAAAAACAAGAGCGAAAACGCCAGTTATTATTATTCAGCTAGTTTCTATCCAACATGTGTTGAATGGATTCCTTCTTCTCTCTGTCCCTTCTTATGCCATCTTATAATATTTATTACTCTCCTGTCCTTTAAAGTGTAGTCTTGATGCCAGCATTATGGTGGCATACAATGTTTCTGCTTATTTGTCTCCATTTTATGACAAATAACTAAACACCTATCCACAAACAAACATGCCTCTGTGGAAACTGTGTGACCCAGGACGACATGCTAAATGATGTGAAAGGAGTCAGGTGCAGTTTGTTTCTGGTAAGAGGCAGAAGACCTCTGCATGGGGTGTAGAACCAGGAGAGCCAGTGAATCAGACCCATCTATCTTGCCATGGTTGCAAAAAATCTTTAGCTTGCTGACTTGGGCGGATGCCCAAAGATGAGAGAGAAGTTGCTTTGGAAGTCCAGGCTTCCTGATCTTACATGGGCTGAAGTATCTGATGGTGGCAGTTCCTCCAGTGGGGAAAAAGGAAATTGGTTAGTGAGTGCCTGGTTACCCCACCTGTTTGGGGCAGGGCCAAAGAAACACACTGCTTTCCAGCAGCACCCAGGCTAATGTGGCCGGACATCCATGACCAGGGAAAGGGAAGAGATGGAAAAATTCAGAGAAGAGTATCAAAGGGCATTAAAAGGAGAAGGTTCCTGCTGTCTGTGCTCAGGACTTCAGCAGGACGACCTCCCATGTTCCTCGTGGAGAACATCACCTCAGCCTCTCTGCACCGGGTCTGCAGGCACACCCAATGCCCTGGGTGCTAAGCCCACAACTCCCCCACAATGTGCCCACCCCTTTGTGTTCAGCCGTGAGAACTAATTGGGAAAATATAGTGGACTCAAGAAAACACATAGGATCTGTGTGCAAGGGAGACACCACACACCTGGGTTACAGCACCACTTTCTGAAAAACAAAAGAGAGGTTTCCAGTAGCCTTCCTGGTGAGTTGTAGGAACTAGATATGACATAAAAGCCTAAAAATTTTGGCCACAGAGAGCGCAAGAAGAGTGGAGCAGTGTGCGCATAGAAAGGTGGAGCAACCCCAGATATAACAGCACCAGTAAACAGAATAGTCCATCGGAAGGCACTAGTGAAGATGTTAGGAGGTGTGTGAAATGTAAATGTGGAAGCAGGAGCTGAAAACTACAAGGACACGATAAATAAGGAAACACAACACCACTAAAACTAATACTTTTTTAATAACCTAGCTTAAAGACATGGCATTTTGCAACATGGCTGACGAAGAATTCAAAGTAGCTTTTAAAAATAAACTTAACAAGCGACAACTAAAGTCTGAAGACAATTTAACAAAATCAGGGAAAACTATGCGAACAAAGTGAGATATTTACCAAAGAAATAGAAATCATTCTGGAATCGAAAACTTCAATAAATAAATGGATAATGCTATAGAGGACATTTGTATCAGCTTAGAGCAAATAGAATATAGGATAAGTGAGCTGCAGGCCAAGCATTTTGAAATAACCCACAGAGAGAGAAATAAAGAAAAAAGAATGAGGGATCCAAAAAAGCTGCAGAGTAGAAGGAAGATACATTCCCCTCCTCCCAGGGCCAAACCAAATTATGACTAAATTACAGAATAGTCAAGCTGAGTAACCAACTGAAGACTAGCTGAGCAGAGGACTTATAACTCTGGATATACATAAGAAGACATATTGAGACTGGTAGGAAAGGCAGAGGCTCAAAAAGGGCTGGTCGCACCCATGTTAAGAATCTGGAGGGATACCCGACTTCATCGGTTCCCCTGGGAGAAAGGTGTCTCAATCTGGCCAGCCTGGGCCTGCAGTGCAGACTTTCAGGGAGGCTCTGGAGTTCTGAGCATATTCAAGGTGGGGGACTCAGGTGGTGAAAGACTGAGTGTATGGCTCTGGGGCGGGGGCCATGTTCCCTCCTGTGTGCCCAAGTGGCATCGCCTCTCCCAGGGGAGACCTACTAGCTCCACACTTCCACTCTAGGTGGCCCCACCTGCTGAGCTCACACCCCGAGGAGAAACTAGCTGGCTGTGGCCAGCCTGGGCCTGTGGTGCAGACTTTCAGGGAAGGCTCTCAAAGAGGCCTGGGCAGACTCAGGGTAGTGGAGACAAACGGGGAGAGACTGAGGTGTGTGGCTCTGGCAGAAGGGTGATTTTTTTTTCCCCTCGCATACTCACCTAGCTCCACTATTCCTGGACAGAGCCCTCCATCCACGGGGTCAAATTTTGGTCTGCTTTTGCCTGATGAACCCTACTGGCCTCACTCTGATGACCTTCTGAGACCCTGCCCCAGAACGAAGTTCTGCAAGCAGGTTGCATCAGGCCTCGGTGTGTGCTAGCCTCACACTCAGCTTGGGCACCTAGGTGAATCTGTATCAACCTGGTGAGCACCACTCACACCTACCTTGTGACTTACTAAGATTCTACCTCACTCGACTCGTGTATGGCAAGAGGCTCTTTCAGTGACTGAGCCCGATAGGCAACTGGCAGTTTAAAGGGATTGTCAGGGTGCCTTGGGCCTTTTGCTCACTTATCCCTGGGTCCAGTGCTGGTGAAAGCAAGCTGTGGTACACAGCTTGGAAACTCCCACATGCACCCCATGCACCCAGGCTTAGTACAGTCCGCCTCAAACTGTGGATCACTCTGTAGCTTCAAACAGGTAGCCCAGGGCAGTTTGCAAGCAGGGCCTGACGTTGACCTGCATAGGAGTCACTCTGAAGAGGACCCAGAACCAAGACACATTAGAATTAAAATGCCAAAAAGTTATAGACAAATAGAGAATCTTATAAGCAGCAAGATAGAGACAGCTCGCAACCTACGAGGGAGCTCCCATAAGGCTGTCAGCTGATTTCTCAACGGAAACATTTCAGGCAAAAAGCGGTTGTCACAAAATATTCAAAGTGATGAAAAACAAGGATCTACAACCAAGACTGTTCTGCCAGCAATGGTATCAGTAAAATGGAAGGCGAAATAAAGAGTTTCCCATACATAAAAAGCGAAAGGAATTTATCACCACCAAAACAGTATTACAAGAAATATGAAGGGACTTCTTTGGGGAGAAAAGATAAAAAATATGAGTAAGAAAATATGAGAAAGAAAAAATACTCACCATCAAGGACAAACACTTAGTAAACGTAGTAGATCAACCAACTCTAAAGCCAGTACAAAGATTTAAAGACAAAAATAGGAAGACCATGTGTAAGTACAACAATGTATTAAAGGATACATACAGAAAAACAGAAAAAAATAATGACAAAAACTTAAAAGTGGAGGTGAGGAAAAATTATAGTGAGTTTAGAATATGTTCAAACTTAAGTAACCATCAACTTAAAATTGACTGATATATACATATACATGAGTCACATGATAACCCAAGACCAGAAATCTAAGAGATATACATGAAAAAAAAGTAATCTAAACATGACACTATGTACAGTCACTTACTAAAGAGAAGCTTGCAAGAGAATAAGGAAAGATCATAGAAAAAGTACAGAAACAATCAGAAAATGAATAAATTGACAATAACTACATACTCATCAATAATTATTTTAAATGGACTAAATGCTCCAATCAAAAGAGATAGGGTGGCTGAATGGATAAAAATACAAGGCTCATACATGTGCTGCCTGCAAGAGACCTACTTCAGATTGAGAGACACATGGACTGAATGTAAAGGTATGGAAAATGTTATTTCGTGCAAATGTAAATGAAAAAAAAAAAAAGCTAGGGAAGCAATTCTACTATGAGACAAAATAGATCCTAAATGTAGTAACAAGGGACAAAGGCATTTTATAATGATAAAGAGATCAACCCCAAAAGACTATATAACTCTGGTAAAGATCTACACACCCAGTGTAGGAGCACCGAAGTACATTAAACAACACTGACGGACATAAAGGGAGAGATTGACAGTAAGTCGGTGATAGTAGGAGGCTTTAATGCTCCTCTGACATCAAGAATTAGATCATCCAGACAGAAAATCAACAAGAAATCAGTGCCCTTAAATGGCGCATTAGACTAGGTGGTCTTAACTAATATTTTTAGGATATTTTATCCCAAAGTAGTGCAATAGACATTCTTCCTATGTGCACAAAAAACATTTTCCATGAGAGACCTCATCTTAGGCCATGAAAAAAATCTCTGTATATTTATTTATTTTTATTGTTTAATTCATTTATATTTTTGGTTTGGGACCTTGTCCAAGTTTTCTTTTTTCCCTTTTTCTTTTTTCCTCCCCTTTATTTGCCTCTGCCCTGCACCCTCCATCCTATGAGCAATCCCCCCGCCCCGCCTTAGTTCACATCCACGGGTCATGCATATAAGTTCTTTGACTTCTCCTTTTTCTATATTATTCTTAACCCACGCACCCCCCATCGATTTTGTACCTACTATTTATGCTTCTTATTCCCTGTACGTTTTTTCCCTTTCCCCCCGCCCCCTCCCCTCTGGTCTCCATTTCTGTGATTCTGTTCCTTTTCCAGTTGTTTGCTTAGTTTGTTTTTATGGGTTTATTTTTAGGTTCAGTTGTTGATAGTTGTGAGTTTGTTATCATTTCAGTCTTCATAGTTTTTGGTCTTCTACTTCTTAGATAAGTCCCTTTAACATCTCATAGAAT